AACAGGAAGGGCAGACCAAAAAGTGGGTGCCAGCCAGCTGCCAAGGATGCAGAGCACTGGGGAAGACTCTAGGGCAGTGCTGGCGAAGCTTCTAGAGCTCTCAGTGGTAACCAACAGCCGGCTGCGGCACGCCTGCCATGGGTTTGCCACCACTTCCCTAGGGCCTCCATGGAGGCTTGGATGCCTTACCTTTATGCAACAGAAAAATTCTTCCCTTTACTTAGGTCAAGATACTCACTGACCTTCAAAGCCAGCCTAAGTCCCACTTCCCCCAGAAGCCCTGCCTAAGGCTACCATTCTGGAACTTTGTTTTTCCTACTTTCTGTGTCGGAGTCCCTTCTCAACACCCCCACTGTACAAGGGAGTATGGCTTCTTCTACTCGGCCCTTCCCCAGGCAACAGGCTCCTCTCTCATTACACAGAGGCTCCTGGAGGCAAGGCTGGCCCCCTACTTCCTCCTCCAGAAGGGCTGAGGGCTGGATACACACACAGGAGGTCTCACGATGGGCTGCCAGGGCCGCTGGCCACGCCAGTGCTGTTACAGGACAGCCCTGCAGTTCTCAAGCACATTTCTACCACCATTTATCCACTCAAGCAGCATTTCTAGAACACCTGCTAAGTCAGAGCCTTAGGCCATTAAATGAAAAAAAACAAGCCTCAGAACTCCTAGTTAATGGGGAAGACACTGAAATAACATTGAAGTATAGTGTGGTGGGAGCCAGGGCTAAGAGACATGGGAAGATGCCGCGGGACAGTCCACAGCTGACCCCGACCTGGACAAACAGCATGGAGTGCCAGGCAAACAGGAGGAAGATAGCAGTGAGTCGGGCTGGTACACCCCACATATCTGCAATACATACAAGCAATTTCAGTACTGGTCTAACAAGAATATGGTTACATAGGTAACAGTTTCAAAAATAATCAGGTGCCAGGCTCCCAAGCCTGGGTATCCTTCATGAGGACACCTCATGAAGAAGCTGTGTCCCTCTGCTCTGGCGGCTCTGAACCGCACAGCACTCCGTCTGTGTGCGCTTGTCTGGAGGTCTGCTCTCCACAACTGCCGTCCCCAGGCTCTCCGGAGCGTCCCTGTTCCCTCTGTGTACCTCGGTCCCTAGTCGGCCTCACCAGTACCCCCAGGCTGGCTTCCCTGCCTTTTCCTGCTACACCGCAGCAACCAGAGAGTGCGGGGAGCTCCCTCCTCTCTCTCTGTCTCTCTCCTTCTCTCTCTCCCTGCCCATGACATGGGCAATTTTGTTCTTCCATGGACTCCCCCGCCCTTGCCATCTGGCACTTCCAGCACAAGCCCAAAAGCAACAGGGCCCCTCCAATCATGGACTGAAACCTCTAAATTGTGCGCCAAAAGAACCTTTTTCCCTTTATAAACTGATGTTCTCAACTATGAATCACAGTAATGAAAAGATGACGAACACACCTCGTTAATCGTCTCAGCCCAGGGGTCCGGCACAGTGCCTGGCATACAGTAGGCATTCAATAATAAGCGCTAGCTCTGTGAGCTAAGGTAATCGGGATAAGTATATGTTGCTAAACACGGCTGTGAAAGAAGCAAACTGAGAAAGAGCATGCTCAAGATTTTGAATGAGACATTTGCATCCCATTTCAGGAAGAGCAGATGAAACCCTGGGTCAGACTGTGGAGGGGTCTACATTGTCTATCAAGGATGGCAGCAGGGAGCTAGGCAAGCCTAAGGAAGAAATTGCGAGCCTACCAAATTCACTGTGGCCCTGCTTGTATCTCCAAGCTCCTTGCTGTTGTCTCTCTGGGGGCGAAGAAGAACCAGCTTGGCACAAATCCCTCAGGCCGGCATCTAGCAGGTCTCTGTGTCCAGCACTAGGCTGGGGCTACACACACACTAGGGACCACTTCCAGCCAAATCAAAAGGAGAAACAGAGAATGTCAAATCTCTCAAATCACAGCCTGACTTCTCCCGAATTTTATCAGACTCTCTGAAGCTCTGAGAGCGTCAGAGCGTCGGGTTGTTCTCATACCAGATGATACAATGCTTCCAGAGTGTCAACCTCCTGCCACTTTCACAAAGTCTCCCTGACTCCCTAGCCCACATTCATTTTTCTCTTTTCTATAATCCTGTGGAATTTCTTTTCTGTATAATTAATTTTGGCATTATATCACAATGTCTTATATTATTATCTTTTTCTTAAGAGTTTATCGTATCTTTCCCAGAGAGCTTGCAAGATTCTTAAAGATCACGTTTGAATCTCTCATATGACAGTGCTAAGCCTCTGTAGGGGCTCGATAAACACTGGGGAACTGAACCAGCACTGTTCTAACAGCTCTCCGTGTGTTCTCTGCTGACACGAACGTCTCCTACATAGCAAGGTCAACCACAGCCACCAAGAAGCACAAACATCAACAGAGGTCCCAGCAGCACATCTGCCACCACAGGGCCGGCAGTGGGTCTGGACCCCGAGATCTGCAAGGTCTCAGGAAACCACCCTCCCCGATGCGAGAGCACTTGGGCCTGGGCCCAGGGAATCCCATTTTCTAGGCTTGGCTCAGAGCTGGAATGTCTTTAAAAAGCCAAGAAATGGGAAGGAAGGGCTGCCGGGGACCTCGACGTAAAATGGGCAGGAACACACATGAACAGAGCCCATAAATCCCTCCTGGATGCAGACAATGCCGGGGAGATAAGCATGCAGATTACACACCTAGTTCAGAAACTCCCCTGAGTTTGCTTGTAATTAAGGGGGTTAGAAAGGTAAAAAAAATATATAAACCCAATTAATCATTTAAATATTTAAAGTCAGATTTTTTTCCTCACTCCAGGATTAGTATATTTCATAACGCCAGCCGCCGACAGCCCTGGTTTTTACTGGGGTTCATTTCAGAGCATGTTTAAACTAGTCAGATTGAGTGATGCTTCCAGCAACTAATCGCATGTCAAATAAAAGATATTTTATGTAATAAATTACCGCTACAAGTAATTCAAATGTCATTTATCAGTTTTATTATCAGTCAGGCAAAGTCTTGTTTCTCTATATTAATCAAAATCAAGCTTTTTTTTTTTTTTGAGCAGTTTTGACACCTCTTGGCAAAAGTACAGAAGTGAAGAGGCAGAGTCGCCCCCGAAGCTGAAAGGAGCAAAGTAACGGTGCTCAAAAAATGAAGCTCCGAGGTGACTGCAAACTTCAGGTATTTAAATGTGCCATTCCCAGTGTTTTTATGCGAATGTCAGGCAGAAGTCTGTCTCTATGAAGACGTATGTTATTTTTAGGGCTAGGAGACTCAGAAACCCTCCTACCTAAATACCTCCAGTGTAAGGCTTCTCCTCAGCGAGATCTGCACGGCCTGCACGGCCTACGCGACTAAACTTCCTGCTACTCACCCCATTCTTTTGCCACTTTCAGAAAGACTAATGACTTAACCCTTTGTGCCTTGGACAGCAGGCAAGTGCATGCCATTTTAGGCCAACTCTAACCAACTAGAACAATTTGTTCTGAGGAGGAAGTTTCCAAGTAGCCGAGAGACCTGTTTGGTATTAAACCATGGGAGGAAACAGCTGGAACAGAACAGATGTGCATCTTAGAAAATTCTGCACCCCAGCTGCCACTGCCTATCCTCAACAAATCCCATTAAACGGCTGGGCCTAGGGACACAACTCAGGAAAGAGGGTGGAGACAGTCTTGGTGTAAAAAGAAGCGCATAAAGTAGGTTTAGGGCCAAAGGCAAACACAATAGGCTGCAATACCGCTGACCAGAAAGGAGAAACAAGTCCCAGCAGTTAGTGAGTGGCTCAGGAGCCCAAACACAGGCCTGCTATAGGAGCTCTGATCCTGTGTCCAAAGAGGTCACAGCACCCTCGGGTTTCTCAGGCAAGGCACTGGGGAGTGAGACGCTCGGGCGCAGGTGCCCCGGTCTCACCCACTCAGCTCTATCTGGAAAGCAAAGGAAGGAGACATCTAAATATTTGTGACACACAAAGCAGACGCTAACCCAGCACTCAGCCCTGCAGTCCAGACTAGTTGGAGGAAAGGCCCTGTGGGCTGCGGTCCCAGGACTACCTGCCCAGCTGTGGCAGGGTCATGCGACAACCACCAGAAATGCAAGAAAGATGACTTCAGACCTTGTGCTCAGGGACCAAAATGAATGTCTCATTTTAAAATATGCCTTTCTAAACCTGGTATCTAACACTGTTTTATATCATTTTTTTAAAAAATAAAACTTCTAAGACAGACAATTAAAATGGAGACAATTACAGAAAAAGCATTTTGAAAGATAATAGAGCTAATGCTGAGTTACAATACAGCAACAAAATTGAGCTATTTTCCATAGCTCCGGAGTCAGTTTTAACTTTTGTTGACTTTTTGTAAGTGGCTTACAGGAGAGGTTCTGGCTGTATTTTAGAGGGATACATTTATTAGCACACTCATTATAACGGCAGTTTTTATTTAAAAAAACAACAAAAATCCCCTTAGATCATGATCTCATGTAACAATCAAAAGCCACATTCAAAAAGGTCGTTTATGTTCAACCTGAAGTTCTCTAACAGGCTGCCACCACATGAATATACCGGCACAGCCAGGTCGAGAGGGAGCAGAGGAAAGGCTGGCCCTGACCTCGGAATAGTAACTGTAAACACTAAAATTAAGAGATGAGCAGCTTCTCTGAGCGAAGGAGAATGAACCGAGGTATTAGACATTTGTTCTGCCATCGAGATACAGTCACAGGCAGAGCACTGGTGTAAGAAGATGGGAACAGACCGATCTTAGTTAGCTTCATCGTTTTTTGCACATAACCAAAATATTTGAAACAATACACTGCTTCATTTATTCAGGTCCTCTGACCTTGGTCCTACACTTAAAAGTTTGTGCAGAAGAAGCTTTGGGTAGGTCTTTAGGGAAAACCCAAGAGCTTTCTGCTCAAAATAGGAGAAACCCAGCTTTTCTCCTGGGTTGCTGGGTGTAGGAGACGCCCGAGTCTGAGTCCCAGCCCGTGCAGTGCGGGAGCTGGAGGGGGTGACTTACTGCATGGCTGCGAAATGAGGTGGGGAGGCTGCAGAGGAACCACCTGCGTGGCTGGGCCCAGGGGTGCAGGCTCGTCGGCAGCAGTGCCCGACTGCTGGAAAGCCAGGTCAATCTCTTCATCAGTCAGCCCTGGGGAGAAGAGCACAGAGTGGCAGGTGAGTACCTTTGGCTCATGGCCACGGCTGCAACAGAATCTGCTGTGAGAAAGGCCCACACGGCCCCAGAAGGCCTGGCATCCTAGGCAGCTGCCTTCCCGATTTGGGATTCTCCGGAACCTCTCTCGGTTGCAATTTAACCTTAAGCGACAGAATATTAGCCTCAACACGGCTTCCAAATGTGGCTCATTCAATTTCCTTAATTTATCCTTGAGTTTATTGCTGCTTTTGAAGTCGCTCTGTACTGCAATTCTCCATTCTTCCCCCGAAAACAGATACCATCAACTGCAAATGTGGCTCATTTTAATCTGTAATGGTGTTAAAAAAAAGAGGGGAAAAAACTAACAATAATGCATGAAAACAGACAGGGAAACAAAAAACTAATTATTGGGTGAGACGACTAATTAGTCTAGATCGTTTCAGAAGACGGGAATAATTTGCTTTATTTTATGACAAATGCAGAAATAAAAAGAAAAATCAGGACTGACTGTGATTAGTATGAATGGGATATAGAATGTAAAGAAGAAAATAAAACAAGAAAACAGATCAAAACAAGGCCAGGCCCAAACTTTCAGATGATTATTGCTCTAGCCTATCATAGGCTGCCTGGATCGCCTTTGGCTAGTTTCTCTTTTCCCTTTTTTTAATTTCTCCCAACACTTTAAGCCACACTGCACGTGGGACATCAGGAAATAGCAGGGTGCCATCTGCAGGGGCTGTGACATGCAGAGAGGATCTGCCATGGAGGAATGAAAGGCAACTGAGAAGCCATAAAGACGTCCCGTGAGGGCCCAGCTGGGATAGTTTCAAACTGACTGGGGACACTGGCTCTTGCACGGAGGATGAGGGCACCTGCCGACCCACAGGGCAGAACACAGTGCGGCGCCCAGGTATGGAAAGAACTTCCCCGAAGGGCCCACTAAGGAAGTGAGGTGCACACGAAAGTGCTCTACCATGGTGAGAGGGAAGAGCGGGCGGGAGGTCACTGCTAGTCTGCAGGAGACACGCGGGCCGGTCTACATTGTTCCAGGAATCCCAATTTCCAGTTGAGCCTCTACACAGAGCTTTTAAACTATAGCTGAGAGCTTTTCCACATCTGGTCGGCAGCTCTCCATTAGAGGCCCACAGCATGGTATACTTGCCCCTGGGGGTGGATGAAGTACGAGGCGGTTCTGAGGATCAGCATCTTCAAAGTGTGGTGCCTCGCACTCTGTGCCTAGGGGCTAATAGATGGTGCACATTAATGCTTCAGAGCGAGGCTCAGCCTGCACTGTACTGGTGTGAGCTGACTGCAGCCAGCCCTCAAAGTTTTCACGCTCTACCACAACTGGTCAAGGAAGTACCCAGCCTATTCCAAAGGCCCTGGGCCCTGCCTCTTTGCACTAAGCAGATGAGGTCTGTCCCCCTTTAAAACTGTAGCTCTCCCCGTTCCTCCCCTCTTCGCACACCTGTGGCGCTAGCCAGAGCAGGCAAGGACGTGCTACTGCAGCTCCGAGGTGCTACTGGGGCCCCGGACAGCACTTGCTCTCCTAGAGGAGATGAAAAAGCTCCAAAAGCATTCATGACTAGTGCTTACCAGCTTATAAATACAAAAACTAAAGTTGAGTAGACCAGGGCTGGACAGGGGACGCTCCTCCTCCCCACCTCCCCATCGTTTCCCCTCCCAGGCAGAGCAGGGACAGGACAGACACACACACCAGGCACAGATGGAGCCCCTCCCCAGAGCTTGTGGTGGGCGCTCTCATGTGTGGTGGCTGCAGATCGCTCTTCCTAAATAGGAAGGGGCACCCCCTCCGAGTGCACGGAGGGAAGACATTGTTTTAACCAATTCGTAAGCAGCTGCTAGAGAAGAAAGCAGCATCTGCGACGTCAGCACAGGCTGCTGGTCACTGGTACACCACGGAATTCTATAAACCTGGTGGTTCGTGTGCCTTGTCAGCCGCTGGCTGCAAATGAGGATAATTTTCCCAAAAGGAGCATTCAGTTGCATTCTCATTTTCCCTTTTGGCTCTTTCAAATATAAACAAGTACTATAATGTTTAACGCTGGGGAAATATACAGTAAGTTACAGGCTGTGCCGTGGCCCTGAGAGCTGGAGCTGGTTAAAGAAACAGAACTCCCTGCCTATTTTCCTGCCCTCTGGCCCTGCGCTTTTACATAGCCTATTTTCCTAATAAAACATGTTCCTTGCATTATCACAGCCGAGCCCACCAGTGAGGCATCAGTTTAAAGGGCATCAGCACTTCCTTCCAAGCTCTTGTTTTTCAGACCTTATCATTTGATGCTTTTAAATTTACACTGGCTGGAATTCTGATATCCTTACTTCTCTGGGAGTCAGGGTTTTGATTTAGTTACAATAAATGAGTCATTCTTTTTCTTCTTCTTCTTTTTTTTTTTTTAAAGCATTTTAGTGGGCCAGGGATACAGCTCAGTGGCACAAGCACCTGCTTGGCAAGCCCAAGGTTCTGAGTTCAATGCCCAGTACCAAAAAAATAAGCATTTTAACACTCTCACTGAATAATGTCATTTCAGAGCTGGAGCATTATCCCAGTCATTGCTCTCACTCAGCAGATAAAAAACCAAAGTCCAAGAAGGGCAGAACCTCTGCCCCAAACCACGCTCATTCTGGAGAACGTCACGCAGTGACCACCCCGGGCTCTCCATCCCCACTCTGGTGACTTGCTATCACACCACCAGGGGACAAATCCAGACCTTAATGTCTCTTTCTTATCCTGTACAGTGCTGGGAAGGGAACCCAGGGCCTCACCCATGCTCGGCAAACCCTCTATCCAGTGTTATCTCCAGCCCCTTCCTGTTTTAAAATTGTGAGACAAGATCTCAATCGCCCAGAGTGGCCTCTGCTCAGACTGGCCAATCTCTCTCTGAGTAGCTGGGATTATAGGTGTGTACCACCACACCCAGCCAGACCTATGTTTTCAATCTTAAGTTTTGTTAAAACGATTTAGAGAAGTACTACATTTTCTTCTCCCACTGCCCTTCCACAGACCCCAATCTATCAGCTGGAGCCAATAAATACTGTTTGGGGATGATACCGAAACAACACAGCAACCTAACCCCTGGGTTCTATCTGCAAAGGACACCTGGACAACTTTCTGAACAATACCAGTTTGACAAAGGTAGAGCGACCTTGTCCCCATCTTGTTGTAAGATCCTAACTCCAAATCAAGTCACTCACAGAAGGGTGCCTCTGACCCTGAGCACCCTCCTCCTCCAGGGCATCTCTGGTTTAGGAGGACTGGCCAGTGCCAGGACTCTGATAGGCCTCAGGTGAGTCACGGGAGACCTGGAGAAGGAGCAGAGTGCTCACCTCCCCCACAGCGCTTGGGCAGAGACGACCCCGCCTTTTGGAATGTGGCGCTGCCTTGGGACTCACACAAAAGACATCCAGGTGCCCTAGTCCCATCTTTGCCACCACCCCCACTGAGAAAAACAGCAGATCTTTGATTGAGACCTTGCAGAATCCAAAAGGTTAAAAGGAATAATAAAGGAAACTGCCAATTGTAAGTGAATTATATTTGGCTCTGAAAGCTGAGGCACAGGCTATATTATAAAAGGCATCTCTTTGCGTTGTTTACCATCACCCTGACTAATGCAGACCTTTTTTTTTTTGTTTTAAATAATCTCATGCAAATTAGACACACACACTTCCTTCCAGTTGATTGCTATCTGCAAGGAATAATCTAACTGCAGAGGGACCGAGCAATGGCTGAGGAACAGAACACAGAGATGGGAGCAAGGGGCTCCCCCGTCCTGTGGCATGTGAACCTCCTCCCTTCCCCACCTGCCGAAAGACTTCCTTTAGCTGCTACCTTTGAAAAATTAGTCCATTTTAATAAAGCCTAAGTCTTTCTCTTAGTTGAGTGTCATTTTGCATTACCTGATGTCACTAGCACTTAGATAGCCTTCCAGTAACTGCCCTTCTGCCATCAGTGATTTTCAAGTGCTACCAGCCACCCCAGCCCCAGTCTACAGCAGTGACAATTAAAATGTATTACCTATACAGAAAACCACTAGGACAGTCCCGCCCAGTTATTCTGCACTTGCTGACTTCAGCCAAGAGGAGAAGGAAGAGACGAGGGGCCCTGTCCAAGTGAGCAGGAGCTGGATACTGGGCCCTGGCTCTGCAAGGTACAATGCCACCTCACCTGCCAAGGCCACGGCTGCGGATTTGCAAAACCAGGAGCGCTCAACTCAAGCACTTCCAGGAAAAGGAGGTCTCACACACCCAGAATTGGGGTGACTGCTCTCTCAGTTCTCTGCAGTCCACTTCCAAAACCTCAGGGACACTTAGTTCCTTTACCAGACTTCTGCTGCCCCTGTAGACACCGGGGCCGAGGATTTCTTCTCCAGCACTTCCTCCAGGTGGGCTGTTTTTAAACGTACAGAACAAGTAAATGACATCCTATTGATCAATAAAGCCAGCTTTTACAGCCATCCGACCTGAATGCCTCAAGGTAGCCACACCTGCCTATTTTTATCCCCTAGCAGATAAATCTGTTTTCTTTTTCTAAAGGTTTCTGTTAAAATGCAAACAGGACCAAACTGACTGACGGTGAGATGCACTCTACTGGCTGCAAGTGTGATGCCCCAGGGTCCTTTACCATGACTCAGACCGAAACGGTGGCTTTCTCTGTAGGACTGACTCTGCGAGAGCATCTCAGAACAAGGAACCTCAACGCTGGCCCTAGTGAGTGCCAGGCGCTGCACCGGGTTTGCCCCTGTGCAGGTGAAGCAGGAGACAACAGTGTTCTGCCTCTTTCAGGTCAGGCAATAACTAGAACACAAGGGTTGGGAACAGTATGAAAATCCAAAAGGTAATGAATGCCTGACCCTAGCCCTCTAGCTCGGGCTGACAGTTTTATAACAAAACGGTACAGATGGACAGTGACAAAGGACAGAGGTACTGGGGCCCCAGTGAAGGGCACTGGTTAGGGGCTGGGGACTCAGGCCATC